CTTATTTTTATACACAAATAACGTTTGTTGTATTGACACTTGTAGAATAACAAAATAATATTTCAAGAGTATTCAAAATAAAAGGCAGAAACTCATAACTTTTGTGTTTATAAAAATAAGTTTAAAAAGTTTGACTTTGGCTTGATACCAATATCAATTCGTGCTCACATAAAGATGGTTTTTTGTTTTTGCTTTCTGTCAATAAACGCATTTGTTTAAAGTTTGAAATAAATTTAAATTTTCGCTTAACTTCCATTTGTTGCTTTTTATGAATTTAATACAACTGCTGTTGCAACAAGATGGGAGTTGTTCAAATGTACAAATTTTTGCTTTGGTTTTCTTTCTCGTAATACTTTCATAACTTTTTCGGGTTATCCGACTCCATTGTTTTAACTCTAAGAAAAGATTTCCCTCACATTTCGCTTTCGTGTTTTGTTTTTTGTTTTGGTTCTTCACCAGTGCATTTGGTTTCAGTCAGCTCACAAAGAAATGGGAAAACAAGTCCAGTAAAGAGTAAGAGCCACTCATAGGTGCGCACCTGCTCAGGTCCGCCTGAGCATTTGTTAGGTGTTGTGTGCACACGGAAAAATTAAAACTATATATCGTTTATAAAAACATTACATTTTTTCTTTAATAAAAAACTTTTCAGTGGTTTTAAAGTAAATTTGTATCATTAGTTGATTAATCGTTATATATTAAATTGATTATTTATTATACTTACAAATTCTCCAAGTAATATTCCTGCTTGTGAGTAAATAATATTATTCAATACTGGGTAGGGACAAAGGGTTTTTAAATTTTAATATAACTGGACTTCAGTGTGAATGTATTTGTATATAAATATAAATTAATTTTGCTATCAATAAATGTATAACGAAAAATTGCGGTGAGCACTTGCCATTGAAAAATTTGGAAACAATTTTTAAAAAAAATATATATTTTGAAATGGTTAAAGTTAGGGATGCTGTTATGTAGTCCAAAAAAACATTTCAAATAAATTTTGTTTTTAGTGTGCATTGGTAGAAAGGTTCACCCCCCTTTTGTTGCTGTTGGCACTAATAGTTTTCCAGCTCGTAAAAGCCTTGTTGCTGCTACTCCTTGGCTGGGCACTTCGATCTAAGTTGGCTAGCAACTGAAATCGGCTTGGCTTTGCTGTGCAGCTCAGTTTTCGCACTGCTCCTCTCCGAATCCTTTGTATCTGTGTGAGGCTGCGGCTCCTTGTGTGCTCACCATGGCGGAAACTTGCCAGGCAATTTCCGCTTTAAGTACCATTAAATTCGTATTCGTTTTAATGAGCTCTCAACATGATGCCCCCTCGGCCCAACATTCTCTATATTTTTCAGACAGTCAGTCAGTCATCCTCATCTCCCTGGGCTATCGTTTTAATGACATTCGATTCGTGTGTCTATCCCATGCTGAGTCTGCCCTTTGTTTAGACAGCATGAGGCTCTGTTTCTGGATCGCCTTTGCTTTACGACCACTTTGATGGGCTTTTCATTTCATTTTCGACCAGTCGATGGTAAAATCTGCTCAAGGTGCACATAAACATCTATTTGTGTGTGGAAATAATATCAAATATTAACGTGATCAAAGCTATGAATTTATGTGACTGCTGTACTAAATTTATTATTTGTTAATTTAAATAAGTTAATTTCCAAATCTGTTAAGTCTAAATAATATAAACATAATTTAATTGTTCAAATATTTATACGTGTTATAATAAACAATTATTAACATTAACTTAATTGTATTAAAAGAACAACACAAGTTTACTTTTTGTTTTCCATTAATGAACTTAACAATTAATTTGGCTACTTTTTGCTTTTAGTGTGCTCATACAGGTAAGCCGCAAATCGATATCCCACCTGAGGACAGCGGTACACAACCTACCGCTGTTGGTAAACTAATTAATTTTCATGTCTTTGCCATGTCTTAACATTGCGCATACGCCGCGTTGCACATAATTACTTTGCTTCTGTTGGCAAAATACCCGATAAATAATTCAGAGCGCATGTGAAACTAAAAACAAAGTAAAGCTGAGATCCCAACAAATAACTGGAATCGCAGGAGTTCGGTTCGAGTTTGTTCTAGCGACTTATCTGTGCGAATGGATTATGCTGCAGCATTTTAAGGCAGCTCAAAATAAGGAGAAACTGCGTGGGTGGTTCGCCGCCCACTTTCCGAAATCCCCATCTATTAGTGCCAGTAAAAGCAATTATTTGAGTGGAAACTTTGAGGCTACCGCTGAAAGTAAAGAGCTGCTTTTGCAGCTTTGGTGGCTGGCTTGCTTTCGGTTTGTCATTATCTCGTTGCGTTCAACGTTTTTAGTTAATGCTGAAAATAAATGCTGCTAAAGTAGGGCTGGCACACCGACTTATCCACCTCCTCTGCGGCATTGTATTTAACCAGTTCACTGTTGATGTTAATGGTTTACCTGTGCGGATGGCGCAGGAAACGGAGTTGTTCAATAGATTAGTTTTGCAATTTTTCAGCTCAACACTTTAGAAGGATTAAGTGGGTTGAGCGGCTCAACATTGACGGCAGAGCAACTGATTCCTAATGGATGTCCGACAACGGCAACGGACATAATTCAAATATGCATTAAAGGGGATTTTTGCAGGTTTGAAAAGCTTTGCCTGTGGACGCTGACAAATGCTTTGTTTTCCCATAAATTGTATATTGTGACTTGCAATAAAACAATATTAATGGAAATCCATTAAAAATGCTTTAAACCCCTGGTTTTTAGAGTTTAGCCAAAGGATTGCGTTTTTTTTATTCAAATTATATGTAAGTAATAATCATAAATAAATGTATTTTACATGCGTGTGATGATGATTTTTTGTTAATATTTATAATATTTTGATTACTTATAAACTAAGATACATTTTTTTTTAAAGGTCTGTAAAATAATAAATCTTGCAGATAAAACAGTTTTAAAAGTAAGGTTTATTGTTCATCTTCACGTTACCTTTCTGTGGTTATTCCCTAGTTATAGGACAAAATCCATCAAACATCTTTAGAATTTAAATTTAAGCGCTGAGTGTGTGGCACCATTCAGCTCACATTTTGCTTCGACAATTTACATTGAAGTCCAGCCCATTTATATTCCATGGACGGCACACCGTTCCCAACTATTTGCCTTTCGAGTGCAAAATGCTGGAAATTGTCACATCAAATTGGACAAACTCTGAGCAGGCGAATGGCATCCACGTAGACACATTCACTCGGCAAATTAAATAAACACCTCTTTTAGCATTCACACAACGAAATGTGCAATTACATTACCGACTAGGAGTATCTGTTTGGGCTTGGGAAAGTGGAAGCTGCCAGGTCCTGGCTTTGAAATTTCCATAACATTTGAGTCACCTGTCGGCTGAACAATTTATCATATGCTGACACGCCAACTGTCATTGTCAGGATACGCGAAAGGTGTCGGAAGTGAGATGGAGGAGCCACATTGCCTGGTATTTTGTTCTCCACTTGCCACTTGTCGCGGCGCTTTATTAGCCACATTGTTCTCGGTCGGTTGTCCGGGATCTTCAACTATTTTTCCCAATGGAATTCGCAATTTTCCTTTTTTCTTTATCAACTGTTTATCATGTCAACTATGCACCCAACTCAAGGCAACACTTAATTATGTTTTCTGTTTCACGGAAAACTTTTCCAACAAGAGAAAACGGAGGGAACAGAGAGAGCTAAAAGAAAAATTACTCCAAATGGCAAAATGATTCCGGCGCTGTTTTCTCCTTTGGCTGCTGCATCATAAATTATTGAAGTTGCCAGTCTGTCATAGCCATGTAGTTTTATTTCCGTCTCTTTTCATTCCCAGCTTCCCTCTCGCTCTTATTCGCTATCTCCGTCTCAGTTTTGCAGCTGGGGAATTTAATTTGGCACCAGGTGCCAAGTCGCGACCCCGTCTTTAAGCAAAGCCATCGTGGCAGAAATATATAGAAAATAAAATGAAACTTTTCCACTTATTTTTGCTGCCACAAAAACGGACAAGAGAAGAAACTAATAAAATGTTTTTTTGTTTTTTTTTGCTTTCTTGCGGTTCCCACTACTCTAAAATTTATTTTGTTTTCGCATAACTCGAGAATGTTTTTTTGCCCACTGTTCTGTCCGCCACTCAATAAATAAGTAGCGTAAATAAACCCACCTCCTTCTGGGCCAGCTTGTCTGAGAGGTAAAAAACTTTCGGTTGGCAGCTTTGTCCCGTTTACATGACAATTTGACAGTTTATTAAGTTGCCAGAGCCCCGCCCGCGGGTTTGGTTTCTAAATGGAAAACTTAGAGTGCCTCCTTCCTCGGGGACCGAACTTATACATAAACTATTCAATTGACTCGAGTGTCTAGGGATTATTTTGTAAAGCGTTGATTGTCACATAATTAGGTTCACGATTAATAGAAAAATCACTTAACGGAGAAAGAGAATTTTCCTTTTTTTATTACAGTTGGCAAATATATTGAAAACTTTAAGATCAACCAAAAATTCTATACAACTTGGATTTTAGAAACAGAAAAACATTTAAAAATTATTCCGTACAGCTGCCAAAAATTTTCTTTTAGATATAGTAATTTCATGGGACTTCACAAATCTCTTTCTCATTGTAAAGCATATTTTTAACTAAGGAACCATGTCGTTTTTTTTTAGTTTAAACACGAAATTAGCTTATTCTCCACAAAGGCCAGAGGTTTGATATAAGAGCATAAATAAATAAAATGGGTACTGCAAGGAAACACTAATTTCTTAAACAAAATGTATATAAAACATATATTTTAGATTTAAAACTAGTGCAACCAGTAGGTTAAAAGATATTTAAAACATGTAATCAAATTTAATATAAATTTAAAGTATGCCAAGTATGCGTAAACGAATTAAAAAATATTTGTCCAAACATTTGATTTTTAAAGAACTTTGATAAGAGTGTCTCCTTGGCTACATTGCTGTTAAGAGCTCATTTGGAGGTTAAAGTTCCGTTTGCGAAATAAAACCACAAAAATGAAGGCCCCAACGTGAAACACATAACTTTTAAATGGAACTAATTTTGATATATGATACAAGGAGTTGTTGTGGTACTACTTTCGTTTGCTGATGGACCCATCGCCGATGCGATCGTATCTGCTCGATAGGTGGCCGTAGGAGCGATCCACCTGCTGAGTGGACGTTTTAAGCCGGCGATCCTGTTCCCGATCTCTGTCCCGCTCCCTCGGCTGGTCCTTTTCCCGCTGACGCTCACGATCCCGGTCCCAATTCCGATCCAGCTCCCGTTCCCGTTCCCGCTGCCTGTCACGGCGCAAACGATCCTTTTGCTGTTGCTGTAACTGGGTCCAATCGTATATGTAGTCGTACTGATGGTTCAGCGATCGCAAGAGAATGCGGAAGAGCTGGCGCATATATACGTAATCCGGTGGCTCCTTGAAGCGAAGATTGCGGACGAGGTTCATTAGCAGCGAAAACTCGGAAGGAAATCCTTTGCAGAGCTCCCCAATCGAAACGCTGTTCTTCTTCTCCAGTATCTTCTCATACTTCTGCTTCTTATTGGCGGCCGTAATACCCTGCCAGGGCAACTTTCCCAGATTGAAATACATAACGCAATAGCACAAGGACTCCAAGTCATCCCGGCGGGATTGCTCCACTCCCATCTGGGCATTTATCGAGGCGTAGCGAACGGTGCCCGTGAGATTGCGATCCTTGCGATAGGGGATATGGGTCTCCGAGTCCATGTCCTTGTACCTCTTGGATAGGCCAAAATCGATGAGGTACAGCTTGTTGCTGTGGTTGCCCAGACCCATCAGGAAGTTATCGGGTTTTATATCGCGATGTATGAAGCCGCGGTCATGGACGCACTCCAGTCGCATCAGCAATTGGTCGGTCAGCATGATGACGGTCTTCAGGGAGAATCGACGCTTGCAGAGATTGAAGAGCTCCTCCAGGGAAGGACCGAGCAGCTCTATAACCATGGCATTGAAGTTCTTCTCGCAGCCAAAGTGCAGTAGTTGTGGAAATCCCGGACTGCTGATCAACTTTTCGTACACCTTGGCCTCGTACATCAGTTGCGGATACTTGGCGTCGTTCGGCTCCACTTTGATGGCCACCTCGGAACCATCCTTTATGCTCAGTCCGAGGTATATATCGCCGAAAGATCCGGATCCTATTGGTTTCATCACCCTATACTTGCCGCCGATTAGCAGGTTCTCCAGATTTAGCGATGAGTTGCAACCAGTGGATATCGGCTTTTGGGTCATCGTGGATTCCTGAATTAATTTCTTCCCAATCGGAATTCGAGGGGGTGGTTTCCCACTGGGTATTCGTAGGACTGGCGAAGCACTCACTTTTTTTTCTAATTTTCTATAGGGGACTGTACTATTTAGCCGGATTTTGACGTTCTACGCATTTTGTTTTTTGTATTACCTCGGACAGGATGTGTTCATCAAAAACTGTTCGTAGCGTACTGACGTTACTTCCTGTTCCCTAGAATTCCGACTCTGACTTAATATTAAAAGCTATATGCAAACATGTAAGCAAATAGAAACTTTACCAAAAAATATCAACCATTTAACAGCTGAAAACAGAAATTAAATATTAAGAGAGGGCAATGAAAAATGCAATAATTTAATGCCTTACCATTATGATGGAAATAAGCTGGATGTAAATATGAAATTAGATCATTAGCTTATCATTTTGCGGAGAGAAAGAAATATGGAAGTGGTAAAAGTGCGCTGGCAGAGAGTGAAAATTAAGCGCTACTAAAAGTAAATAAATAATGAACAAACACGCGCAGAATGAAGCATTTATAAAGCCGCTTACAATCAACATAATCATGCCCCTGATGATGATAATAATGATGATTATGATGATGTCTCTGAAGAGTTTGTGTGTAGTTGTGTGGGTGGGCTTGTATCCGTGTGAGTGAAGACAATGGCCGGGCAGAACAAAGCATCTTAAATGCAGGTGTGTCTGTGTATTTGGGCAGGTGCATTAAATGCTATTACCGCTGCTCTTATGCTCCTCCCACCAACTCAGCTCAACCCATTCCATTTCGTCCCAAAGGCAGAAGCACCTTTCACTTGGCAACGTCCATTGTTAATAATTTCGAGACAAAAGGCCACACTAAAACAATAACTAAGCACGCATTAAGTAGTAAGTAAGTAGATGACAATACAGGGAATCTTCAAGAAGGAGCGGGTGTTGTGGGTCTGATGTCGCTAGATGAGGAAACGGGATTGGGCGGAATGGCCAGAGAAGTTAGTTATGTGCACACCAAAGTACTTTTGCCCAAAACCGTAGGAAATAGACATAAAAGCCAAAACGAAGCAGCACAAGTAGCAAGAAGCTGCTGTAAACGACGAAGACGTGGCAGCAAATAAAATAAAACAAATATAATGAGATTTCGTGCAGCGGGCGGAGAAGCAGCTAAAGAACACTGACAAAAATTAAATTAAAATTTAAGTCATCGGAAAAAAGTAGGCAAGAAAAAAGTATTTTATTTAAGCATTTATCTAAGCATATATATATATTTTTAAGCCAAAACCACAAACAATTTTTTTTTTTTAGTTAATTTTAATTTTTTTACAAATTGATTTTAGAATTTTAGCAATAGCAAAAGAATTAAATTATTAAAAATTTTAAAAATTTTTCTTTATGCTCTATTAAACTAAATTCGCAAACAGTTTCTGTAAAAAAGGTTTGAAATTTTTAAGTTAGAAGTTTTTCTCCCAGTGCAAGAGCCTGGGAGCAGCCCAACAAGCATAGCATACTTATCAGCGCGGGGCAAAGGCAACAGCGCAAAGATGGCGTCGCGCGCTATCTTTTGTCTGTCTTATTTGGGAGTGTGTGTCTGTGTGCGTTAGCTCTCGCTCACAACAACTAAATTTATTTTAGTTTTAACTATTTGCCCAGCACAAACGACAAGCGGCGAAAAAGCAACGCTAAAAGTAATGCAAGGGACACTGCAAAGTCGTTGCATCAGTAACTGTGTCTGTGTGTTTGGGCCAAAGTATTTGACTCACACAAACAAAGCTCACTCACACTCACAGAACCGAAACTATACACACACGCAGACACATTTTCACTTTTCCAAAAACATAGCGCACAAAAGCCGGCTGAGGACAAAGGATATTATAAATTACATACCAAGTTTTCTCTTTTTTCCTGTTTTGTTTCTTTCAGCCTTGTCGCCTGTCCGTGTTTGATAGTCAAGGTGTGTGTGTGTGTTGGTGAGTGGGTGTGTGTAATTTGGTGTGTTATTGTGCTGTTTCTGTTGTTGCCGTTTTACACTAGTTTCCATTTTTTTTGTCATCCCCGTCCGCCGCTCGTTGTGTTATTATAATTTTAGCAGTTTATTTTCTTTTGCTATGCAAACTTAATTCCATTTCACTGTTTATGTGCTTACACACTTGTTCAACTTAAATATAGAAAAATACTGGGTGTCCGGGTATTTCTTAGGGTATCCATTTGGTGGTGCACTTTCGTTTGTTTGTAATTTTCTTCAGGAAAAATGTATTAATATTAAAAAATGGTGTTTTTTATTGGGGTTTATAATAGGTAATCAAAAAAAATTGTAATTATGAAATAACATGTTAAAAAAAAAACACATTATTACAAATAAATCGATAAAAAATATAAATTCAGTGATATATAAAGATTATAAAATATACATAATTCATAAGCTCCTCTCTGGGTTTTTAGTCCCACAAAAACACCCTGTTTGCTAGCAATCAAACAAGGGCAACAGCAATACCAACAACAACAGCATCAGCAACAACAGCAACAGCAGCACCATCAGCAACAACATCACGATTCCTGGGCAATGTGAAGCACAAAAAAGTGGTTACCCCGCACAGTCAAAAGTCTGTTCGTCTGGGCAGATTGGACGGACATTATTGCTGCCGTTTGCGTCGCTGCCGCAGTCGCAGTTGCCGTCGCAGTCGCAGTTGACGCAGCAGTCAATGTTGCTGCCGCTGCTGCTGCTGCTGGCAGCGACTGTACCAAACGTAGTACGCAAACAACACTCACACACAAAAAGACTAGAGAGAGTTTGATATGTACAATTGTACATTTCGTCCTCCCAGAAAATCTGTTTTTTTTTTCATCCGAGAAGTGGGGTTGGTTTTCCTGTGGTGCGTCCCACAGGCAACAGACTCTGTCGGGACTATAAAAATGGATTTTTATTATGCTGCTCCCGTAGCTTTTGCATTTGCCATTGCTTTTGCTGTTGCTGCTGTTTTGTATGCTGCTGTTGCCCCTGTTATCTCTGTTGGCAGAGTTTTCTCTCACCTTGATGTTTGTAGGTAAAAGCCAGAGAAACTTTCCTCCAGCTTCATCCCGGCTGGTGAATGTGTATAGATAGAGCGCTCCTTTTTGAGTGCTTGTTGGGCTAAGCTTTGCGCCAAAGTTTGTTGCTTAAGCTGCGGTTTTGGAGAGGCTGAAATACACTTAACTGGGTTTTAAAATTTAACATGGAAGGATAAAAGGATATTTTAATGAAGAGGTTTGAATTTAATAATATTTTTTAAATCCATTTTTGTCAACCCTTAAATGGGTTTCACATAATACAGAATAAAACAATTTTTTTAACTAACTAATAATGTTGAGGTCATATTTTCAAAAAAAAATTTAATAAATGTTATCAAAATTAATATATAGTATTTTTGTTATGTGCCCAAACTTTAAATTAAGATCAATTGCTATTTATTATTACTTTTAAGTCAATAAAAGTAACGTAAACTTTCGATCCTAACACTTAACCAATTTGAGTGTTGCTAAAATCCATTAAATCTATTTCAGTCGGCTATCAAAAATCGTAAAAAAATCATCAAATCGACCACCCATTGAGTTCTCTATAAAATCTTTCACTCGAATCAGTGAGTGAGTCTCGTTTGAAGGAAGCTTCCACTCAAATGGAAAGCCGGCAGCAACAGTCTGCTTGTGTATATGCAAGCCTCACACAGATACTGACACACACACCGATAAGGGCAGCATCAGGCGGAGTATATAAGTATATATCTATGTAATAAAGCGGACCGGGTTCAGGACGAGGCCCACAGGATGGGTGAGCTTGCCACCACCCCTCAGAGCAGGACACTATTGGGATTAAGTCGACGGCGGCAGCAGTACACTGTGTGTTTTTCATATGTGTTAGTCGGTGAGTATGTGACTGTGAGCTTGTGTGTGTGTGAGCAGGATGCTGTGAGCGTATTTTGTATTATTTTGTTTTTGCCGTTTGCCATTTTGTACATAAATCACCAGCAGCAGCGAAGTGAAACTGAGGCTGAGAACCGTGGATGCTGCTGCGCAGCTGCTGCTCTGCTCTGCTCGCAGGATGTGCCTGTGTGCGTGGGGCTGCAAGTGTGTGGGTAACAGTGTGAGTGTGATGGTGCCGCCATTTGGAATTTTTCGAAATTGGGGTTCGCTACAACAAACGCATTTCGTAGTAGACGTTTAGGCGTCAACTAGTGCGCTTGGTGCTGCGCTTACACGTAAAGCCCGCTCAGCTGAGAAGAACGCTGAATCTGAAGCTCAGGCTGAGACTGAGACAGAGTCCTGCCAGGACTTCCTACACTACTGAACGGCGACCATCTAACACCCAAACGCCAAGACTCACACTGACAGAGGAGACTGACCAGAGAAAAGCTTCATTCAGACAAAGACCGTAATATAAACTACAAATTACAATCGCCTCACCCGACAATCAAACAAAGACGAAACTCTCATTTCGACAGCCACACTATTTTTTAAACCTTCCTAAAATAAATATATAGAATTAAATGAAACGAAAAGTGATAAACGCTGTGCCAAAAATTAAACATAAAATCATATAAAAGTGTCAAGGCCCAATGCCAAATGGAAATGGCCAAGAGCTCTCTCCTAAATGATTAAATCAGTAATTGATTTTAATACCGTTCTCGACAATGTGCGCGTTATGTAAAATATTTCCATGGGTATGTACTTGATGTTGTAATGGAATATACGTCTTCTATATGTCATGCAAATTTTTGATGTGTTCTTTAATGTCAATGTCATTTTCGTTATTGTCGTTGTTGTTATTGTCCAAAGTAAAATAATAAATAAAACAGTCACTTTAACCACGATAAAGAACTATGATGACAACATTTAATGTATAGAGTGAGTATGAAAAATTCTTTATATAATAGACACACCTACTATTTGTGATTAGATTTTAATTTGGGGTTATTTTAAAAGCTTTAATAAAATTTTTTTGAGTTATACATTATTGTCTGTAAATAAAATCAAAAGTCTAGTTGCTAGGAAGGCATTGGGTATTAGTAATAAATGAATTTAAAAATTTAAAGGTTAAATAATTTAAAATCATTGCTAACGTATGATTCAAAATGGTCTGAAAAGTAATACTTAATGTGGGTATATTATGTATTCCCGTAGAATACCCAAAACTTATATAATAAAATTAGGATTCCAGGGAATAGAGATCTCTAATGACCTAAAGAAAAAAGTTAGTTGAGCAAA